TATATATATGTATATATATGTATATATGTATGTGTATGTATATATATATATATATGTGTATATATGTGTATGTATATACGTACAGTAGCTTTACTTTAAAGGAAAAGTTTGACATTTTTGAAAAATATGCTATTAATTATTAGTTATTTAATTTTACATGGGTTTATCTGCTGGACTATTTTATGACACTCCTCATGGTGAAGTTTCCAGGCAACCATAAAGTCTACACAACCCAATGTAACATTGTAACTCTGGACAAAATGTCAAACTATTCCTTTGGCATGATTTCATGTAGCTAAATCTAAAGTACTTGATTGGAAACGTGGTAGTCAATGTCGGGGCACAATAATCTTAAAGTATAATTTATTTATTAATCCCTTTACCTCTTACTTTAAATTTGAATATTTAACTTCTAGTGCACCTTGACGACTGTGATCCTTCACTGGCTTCCTACTGCTGAGTGATGATAAGTTGTGTTTTTGGTGAGCACCCGGCCAATGTGGAGGTGTTCCTGCTGTGATTTTTAACCTACACGCATTATTATGTTTGTATATTTGCACATTTGGCAGATCAGAACTAAAGAACACTTGCTACAGTATCAGCAAGGAACAGTATCAAACAATACTGCAATATGTAAAATGATATCGGTAACTTTAAAGAGAGTTGAGAAACTGTGTGCCAGTGGTGTTTCATTGCCTTGTCGCACATAAAAGGATGAGCCTAGAGCTTTTGGATTACATAAGAGGTTACTTAAGGTTTGATCATAACACTGGTTCAGTTCTGTTCAACCCTGCCTGATGGCTTCATTACTCACCTCTTTTTTCATACTAAGGCATTTTATGAAACTGGTGTGGCAACAACATAAAACAGAGAATCAGTATTTGGTATTTGGACAATAATGCAGGACAATGGTTGTCAGTTATCATTTGGTGTAGAGGTACCTGCCCTACTGGCTACTACTGTACCTTCACCTCCTTGGTTGTTTATCCATTGTGTGGGCCAAAAATTATTTATGTGTCAAAGAGTTGTGGAGGGTTATTTAGTACAATCTACATGCTTTTCACTTAACTGAACTCAACATGATCCTTCTTTTGACTTGACTTAATTAAAGGTTATAAAAAATAAACCTCAATATGTTGAACATTCAGTTGTCCAAACATGTTTCTAATTTTAAAACACAACACTTGGATGCCTCATGTACCATGATGCAGGAGAAAAACTCAACTACCATAGTTTGGAGCTTCATATATGTTTGTGGCCAAGAGCCTGATTTCAAAGTTTGTCTACAATCATCATTACTAAGGTCATGATATCTACTTCCAGAAGTACAGCCCCCACACAGCACTGCACCCCCCAGTTTATATGTACATTTAACTGTTAATATTTTTTCTTATGTTTTCTCACTACGATTGTTGCTATTTCAAAGCTTTCATTACAATGCGATTCCCTGTGTTGTAATTTATTTTTCTGCCCAAATGGAGTCATTCAAATCTATTTTTAAAATATATAATCGGAAAATGTACAATGTGTTATTCAACTGTAGAAAGCAAAGTCATCCTCAGGCTGTTTAAAACCCTTAAATTGCTAACAATACTGAGCATAGGAACTTGATGTCCTTAATGGTAGCTACGGCCCTGCCTGGCAAATGTTACATCAGTCATACATGTGTTGCATGTGTTACACAGTGCACCTTAATTTATCCTGAAGGGTTGAGGCTCATCACTGTGATAAATGACATGATTAAGCAGCTCATTATTATATTGACACCTTCATTTCATTTATAAAGTGGCTTTCATAACAAATTAATTTCTTTGTGCATAAGAAATACACTGAAATCTGTTATACGTTAAAGTCTGTGTTGTGATGGTGTCATGAGATGTTCTATTATTAAAGAGAACTGCATGAAAAATGTAATTTCACTGACCTTCTGTAACCTGTAGCCATGCTAAGCAGAATATAAATTTGCTGTAAGTTTCAGCTTTGACAGACACCATCTTGTAGGGATTGTAGGGATTTTTAAAAACATCATCAAGCAACGTAGAGGTAAAAAGAGGCCAGAGAGTTGCTGCTTATTGCTCTTCCATTATTCTTAAACGTTACTAAAGGAGGCAACTTAGACATCTAAAAAGTCTTGGCATAAAAGCAACAGCAGTCAGAGAGAGACTGTCCCCTAAACTGACTTATGGACATTTAATGGGATATTTAAAATGACAACACAACAGCCTTCAGTGGCAGAAATTAGCATAGTGGTTTCAACACCTGACACAGTGAAAACTACATTGGATTGTACTATATTATACAGGTGTCAGTTATTTTGTCTCTTCTGTATGTGGACCAATAATCAGGCAAACTGTATTTCATGATGGTCTGCCTGATACCACATTGAGAAAAAAATATTCAGATATATGCCATAAGTTTTTCTTTGGATGTCACTTACTTCATTCTTTACAAACTCTGAGATTCATTTGTTGAGAAGTTTTGACTGGAACAGTTTTGCGTTGAAGCTAAAACCAGGCACCGTGACAACAAGAGTGCAACTGAGATGATCTTTGGCCCGCTGCTGAAGTCAGTGCCGGCTGCTGCCACACAGACAGCATCATGAAGTTGCATCAGCACCATGTCAAGCATGAATTTCAAGTACACTGCTTAACTATCAATGGGCCGTGACTCTCACAGTTGACTCCACTGGCGCCGTTGGACCCTGAATGCTAACTGAAGTATTTGTGATGAGGAGAAGTTTCCAGGGCAACTCCAGGGACACTGGCCTCTGCCTTTCTCACTGTTAGTAATCTCTACAGTCTGCATAAAACTTTAAAAAATAGGTTCGGGAGGATGGAGGCATAGTGAAGGAAGCAGGACCCTTGAGCCCACTAAAAGACTGCAAAGGAAAGACAAATGACAACAAGTAACAAGTAACATTCCACAGGCCACAATCAACAACCTGATCAACTCTATGCGAAGGAGATGT